CGACGACGCGGCGAGTCGATTACTTTTTAATCCGAAATTACTTCATCGGTAATCCAGTTAGTAAGCTGCCACGGTTCTTTTGGCACAGCATCCAGAAAAAACAGCGTATAAAATGATTGTTGCGAATGAGGCTTAATATTTCCTGAGTCACTGGACTTTGAACCCATGGATATTTCTTGTGTTCATTATCATTAATTTGTATTAATTTTAAATCTATCTACAAAATAAATTATGTTAACTTGAATTGTCAGCGATTAGAATATTACATATCTAATTTTATTTATTATAAATCGCATGCAACGATAAGATTTGTTATTTTTTTTTTGATCACTTGAATTTAATTTCTTTTTCATTCGATATATCAATTACATATAAGAATATTATAATAATCAAATTATATTGTAAAAAGGAATATTGTAATGATCAAATTATTTACATTTTCTATTAATTCTATACTGAGAAAAAAAATAGTTAACTTGAGACTAAATATCTTTAGTTTTTGTAGTGATTATTTAGTTCAAATTTTTATATATTTAGAAGAATCTTGTTAACAAAATCTTGTAATTTAAAACATGTTATTTGTTTAAATTTACAAATTTTTTTTTTAATTTCGCTGCATTTAGTTGAATCAATTAATATTTTTTTAAATTAGTAAGTACTTACTTTTCTCAGTAAGTCTACAAAAAAATGTAGAATGCTTGACTTCCTAATAAAAATTTGTGTGATAACAGAAGAATAATCGAAATATTTCTGAAATGTAGGGAGAGTTTATTTAACAAAAATTATACAGAATTTCTCAAAAATTAAAAAAAAATAGGAGAAAAAAGATATTTGAATAAAGGCACATAAAGGAAGTAGTTATTATTATTTTACTATTATATGTAAATGTTATATATTGTATGTATAAATTTAATATAGTATATATTTAAAATTATTATTACATCACATTTGCTAAATTAATATTCTAATCTCGGGAATTTGGTTACAATTTATATCGCATAACATATTTGACGTGTCCATAAGATACGTTGTAAATATTGAATTTATTTATATTTCACATTGTTGCTGTGCGTGTAAACTGACATCGCTCGCATTCGATATTCGTAATTTGCAAGACTTTCCTCGTGACAACAGTGAAAAAGAAATCGAGATCGTACTCATACGATCTGTGGGAATCGGTCCGTGTTTTACCGAGATAGAACGACCTTCCGGTTTTTGCGGATGACACGGCTTGTCGGTTGCGACGAAAATTTTCACTGTATCGGGAAAATATCCGATGCTTACCCGCTCCAAAATGCGATTTTTCTACCACAAATCAGTAGATTTCTACATTAAATCTCCATCTCGCGCATCGACTGCTTGTATCACGGTAAGATTAACTTCGTTTCAAATCCGTCCAGTTTCTAAAAATTATTTTAAAAAATATTCCCGAGATTTTTCATAAACTAGAGGAAAGCAACTAGACTATTATTTAGATAGTAAATTAATTTAAAAAATATTTAATTATTCGAATTTATATATGTGTATTAAAAAAATTCATGAGAAAATATTTTATCGATCCACGCGCGTAAACACCCACACAACTGCGCTTAACCGAAAATTCGTCGCAATTCTAACATTTTCTCGTTCATACATTCGTTCATATATTTTTTTCGGATAATGTTAGAGTAGAGAGAAAAATAATGAAGAGAAAAAAATTTTATTGTATTATAAGAATGACTTTCCAAATGCATCTGCATATCTCATATTTTCCAAAAATTATGTGCAATAAAATATTTTTTTATGATTTTTAATTAAATATTTTTTATTTTATTATTTAAATTGTATAACCGAATTCGTGAGAAAATATTTTATTGCATTAATAATTTTTGGAAAATATGATAAGAGATATATGTGTATGCAGATATATTTGAAAAGTCACTTACACAATAAAGATTTTTTTCTCTCCATTATTTTTCTTCTCTACTCTTACATATTATTCGAAAAAATATATGAATGGAAAAATGTTAGAATTGTGACGAATTTTCGGATAAGTACAGTTGTGTTTACGCTCGTGGATCGATTGGTCAATTCGGCACGTCGGTGCACGTCAAGACGGCGAAGGGTGATTCTTCTTCCTCGTGCCGTACAAATACGTTCAACTTGACCCCGATTACGATGAATCGGATTTCCGGACTACGGTGATCCTAGCGGATACCCTCAAATCAATCCTTACGAGAGGTAGAAAACGGTGGGTGGAAAGAGGCGAGCGAGGAAGTCGAAGCGATTCGAATCGCACGGAAAGTGAAACTTCGTATCCTCCGACTTTGGCCGTAGATACCGACTTCCTCCTTCACCAGCAATAATTTACCAAACGGAATCGGACACTGGCGTTTCCGGATCTCGTTACACCGGCACATCCCGTACATACGTTCGAATTTCCTAAACACGGCCGCGTTAAATGGAACTCGCGACGTTACTCGGGAAATGTTTTGTACCTTGCGATATGCGAATTCTATCTACGGATATATATAATCATAATGTTTATAGGCATCGCCTTATAAGGAAATTGGAACACGACAAGATCGATTAGGCGACGTGTTAACGCATGACTAGTGAAAAAATGTAGTAATATAACATTGTCCAACTCTTATTTTGCAACATGAATTTGAATAGTAATTTTTGCCTGCTGAGTACGAATTCGTTGACAAAATTTAGTTATCACGTCACAATTTTGAAAAAAATAGCAAAGAGGCAAAAATAATGACGATTTTGAGGATTTTAATGACGTTGTAGCATTGATATCAAGTTTTTTTTTTCTAAATGTCATTAATGTCACGCGAACCTATCAACTTTTAGTTTTAAAATACATTTTCGTTCGTTTCGATACACTTTTTCATTTTTTATATATATGAATTTAAAAATAACTCTTTTCCCATGTAACACACGTATCTACATGTATATACCTTAAAAAAAATTGTTGAAACGAAACAAAATGCATTTTAAAGTTAAAATTGATACTTTCGTGTGGCATTAATGAAATTTAAACAAATTTCATATTGACGTTATAATGTCGTAAAAATTCTCAAAATTGTCGTATTTTGCCACTTTGATGCCATTTTCTCAAAATTGTGATGTGATAGTAGATAAAATTTTGACAACGACTTTGTGTTTAACAAAAATACGTCTGAAATGACTTCACATTCGTACTGCAAAAAAGATCAAAACATTTTTCTCGATGTACTAGTATTTTAAAGAAAAGAAAGACTCAAATGACCTGTCGTAATATAATCAAAATCAATTAAATGCTAATTTTCCTCTTCTAAATATTTAGTAACTATTATCAAACGATTGTTTACGATTATTATGTTTGATAATATTTACTAAATATTCCATCAATATGTTAAACAAAATATATTTGGTATCTAGCCTTGGCAATAAGTATAATAAAGCATCCCCCAAATTGACGTAAACATTTTATATGTGACAAAAAATAAATTTTAAAAAATTCATTTAGTTGAAAAATATTTACTTTTGTCACAATTTTAATATTTTCAGGATGTTTATTACCTGGAAAAACCTAGAAAATGTGGAATTTTTGTAGGACTTCTTTCTTTAGGACTTTTTTCTCGTAAATCAAGAATTTTCATAAAATGTTATCGGGGTTTAGGAAAATTTTTGGAATTTTTTACTTTTAAATTTTGTCTTTTTTGAAAGACAATTATTTCTTTCAATTATTTAAGACTATTATTTCTTTCTTGATAATGCTAAATGTTGACAGTCAGTTAGCAATACGTATGGAATACACATCCGCGTATTCACGTACATATTGTGCTTGCGAGTTTTTAAAAAAATCATGGCGACAATAATAACTTTCTAATATTACATTATATATTATATGTGTGTGTATATGTGTGTAATTCACCATCCTTATAAATTTCACGACAATTGTAGAAAATGATACAATCCACAAATAAATAGTCAAAACCGTATCTTGTCTTGAATCCTGTCTTGTACCGATTTTCAATATACGTGTACATCTATTTTATTTGCGTTCTTGCCCTCCAATTTCACGTCTTTATTTCAAAATTACATTTGAACACATTTTCTAATCTTATCTGGAATTTTGAGCAAGATACTTGAAATATCTAGAAATTTCCAGGAAATTTTTTTTACAAGATTTCAATAAACATTTTGATTTTATAAATTTTCCCTTTGACTTTTATTACCGCTTTTTTCAAAAAAAGTGAAATAAATTGTGGGTGCTTTATTCATGTTTAAGCTGTATCATCAGGTTTTTTTTCTCAATTTTTTCTTCTTCATACCTCGGATTAAACGATAGTTTAACTTTGTGAGAAAAAAAAAGAAAGAAAAATTACGTCGGTATACCTCTCAATTTTAACCACTCAATTTTAACCAAATTCATCAACTGCCTGTAAATTAATTCCGAACACGAACTCGCGTATAGGAGCACAATATTTCCTAGATATTTCCTATCCTCCCGAAATTTCATATCAGCGTTATCAAACTCTGCTCCGTGTTGGCAAGTGGAAGAACGAACAGCTTGCACTGGCTCCCGAGTTCCCGAAATCGTCGAAAGGGTTCGCCGGGCACATGACACGTGAGGTTGGGACCGTGTCCGTTTGCGTGGACGTCGGGCGTCGGGCGCTCACGTGGCACCCCTCACCACCGCCTTCATTCTCGCGGGCATCGTGCATGAGGTTCCCACTTCCCACTTCCCACTTCCCACTTCCCACTTCCCTCGCCGCCCGGCATTCTCCCCTCCCTCTCTTACCGTCGTCAGTCGTGTCGTTCCGATCCACCAGCCGAACGGCGTGGCGCGGTGCGGCGCGACGGTCCCACGATCTTCTATCCCCTCTTTCCCCACTCGTTCGTCACTCTACCGCGCGTCGCTTCCCCCTTCTCTCCCCGCTGCTCTCCACGCACAGCGTCCTCCGACAACAGCCGAAGAGAGCCGAGTCAACCGAGTGCTATGCTGTCGCGCCCGCCGCTCTTCAGTCAGTAACGCGAGCGCCTTCGTGGAGTTTGGTTTTCCGTGGTCTCTGCCGCTCGTGCCGTTACGTCGTCGTGGTAACACGCAACGCGGCGGCATCGCGTTCATCTTTCTATCCTTCTTTGTCCCGTCGATCGTGTGAAGTAACGTTTACAGTGTCACGCGCCGAGAGTGTTTTCTCCGTGAATAATTAGACAAGTGTTTGGTGATCGGGGAGCCCTTGTTTGTTAGCGCGCGACGGAATTCTCCACTCACGTGAATTCGGAGCAGAGGTAAACAAAGAAATCGGCAGAGTCGTACGACGGAAGATTGGCGCAAAACGACGCGTACAACTCAGGGTAATCTGAAAGTGTGTCGTGCGATCGTCGCAGTCAGTGTCGGCCGAGTTATCGTATCGTCAGGGCGCGCGCCGCGCAAACGAGAATGCCGGGACGCGTAAGCGTGACGCGGTCGGTCGGAGAGCAGCGGTGTGCTCGCGCCGGTTTGGTTTTCGGGTCGCCGAGTGGCGACTGAGGGGGGCCGGAGGGAGGAGGGAGGAGGGAGAAGGGATGCGAAGGATCATCCCGCTGGAGCAGCAGCCGGCACGGTGTGTTGGGTAGCACGGCCTACGGCAGCGTGCCGCGTGTAGGTGCCGGGTAAAAGTAGTAAGTGGCCGGGAGGAGGAGGAGGAGGAGGAGGGGGAGGAGGCGGAGGAGGAGGGTGAGAGGGAGAGAGATCTCTCGAGGGTGCGAGGATGGCCGGCTGGCGGCGAGGCCGGCGAGTAGCGTTGATCCGCAACGTAGGTGCTGTTGCTGTTGCTGTTGCTGTTGCTGCGCGTCGCGACACCGACGTGACGGCCACGTGCCGCGGCGGACGCATCGTCGTTGGCCAGTGGCATTAACTCTCCCCCTCTTATATCGTGACCGGGTGATTGCGTGCCGAGCATGTCGTAACCGCGCGCGCGTTTCACGTCAGAACACGCGATCGGAGTGTATTCAGGTATAAACAGAACGGAGGTACTCGGCTGCACGCGTGTACTTATTGAATAAAAACGGCCCGGATCTACGACGAGTAAGACGAAAAAGTGATTCGCGTCAAGTGACCGCGGAATCAGGTTAACCGAGTTGACAGTGCAATCGCGATATCGCGCGGGAAGTACCAGTGCAAGAAACGGGAAATTCGCTGTTTTTTTAGTCTAGTTTTTTGGATAGCTCTTAAAAAGACGAGAACAGAAAGAGAAGTGGTGGAGAAGTTGTTCTTCACACATTTGTGGAATTTGTGGGAGAGATCGTTGTCGCGTGACTGTGTGATAGCAAGTTTGCCGGGATAATCCGTGAGTTTAACACGAGACGAAGGCTTTGAGAATATATGATATAATATAGTGAAGGTGATCGCGTTAACGTGTAAACGCGACAAAACGTCCGAATCCATTATACCTTCCGTCCGAATGTACACCCTGGAGTAACGCGCGATTCCCCTTGTTTACGTCGAAGGATACTCCTACAGTGCAGTGATACGTAACGTCCCTTCGTAGTGATCGTTCATAACAGAGGAATTGAGCAACGTTTTCGATATTTTGACAATCGGAGTTTTGAAAATGTAACTCTGATTTTAAAACCGATCTCGTAGTTACGCATGTTTTGTCAGGAGCAAAACTTGCTTGAGGTAGTGATGGTTGCTGCACGTGTTTCGAGGGAAATTGCGCTTTAAACGTTCAAGTTCGAATAAGATCGGAGCATTTAGTAGAAAGATCAGTGGGAAAAAGCAGGGTGTGAGAGGGAACGGGAGAGTCTGAGAATTGGACCAAAGCGGGTAAAGGAAAGCGGAAGGAAAGGAGAAAGTGAAGAGAGAAGGGAAGAGAGAGAGAGAGAGAGAGAAGGAGCACGTTTCGTCCTCTAGTCCAAAAAAAAAAGAAAAGAAAGGAAGAAAGAAAGAAAGAAAGAAAAAGGAAAGCCCAGCAGCAGGAGTTGCAGAAGAGAAGAGTCGGTGAAGAGCGGAGAGGGTGAAGAGCGTGGAGGGGGGAGTGATGCCGGCGGTGAGCGTGGCACAGCGCCCTCCAGGTGGAATCCCACTCCACGCCGGCGTGTCGGTAGCGGCCAGCAGCGTAACCGCCCCCGGTCCGTCGGGCCGGTGCCTCGGGGGCCCGGCAGCGCCCCCCGCCGGCTCGCCACCGCTGCCACCGTCCTTGCAATCCCTTGGCGGCGGCGTTGCCCCTAACAGCAACAGCAACGCTGTTGTTAACCCCAATAGCATCAACCACAGCGGCAGCAGCAATAACAACAACAATCACAATCACAGCGCGCTTGCCGGGGTTGCCGGCAACCCCGTCAACAACAATCACCATCTCGGCAACAACGCCTTAGGCATCAACACGGCGAGCGGCGCCACGAATCCTCTGCAGGCGATGGCGTCGGCGGCGGCATCGCTGACGCAGCTGAATAATATGGCGAACGGTCCGTTGCCACCACTCGCGGGCACGGGCCCTGCCGGACCACCGAGTCTGCCGCCGCCACAGCCGGCGACGACGCCGACGCACGGTGGACCGCCGACCCCGCATGGCGGGGTCAGCGCGGCGCCTCATCTCAACGGCGCTTCGCCGAGTCCCCATCCGATGCCGCCCCACGGAATGATGAGCGGTTCGCCTCACACGCCTCACCCGCATATGGGGGGCGGCGGGCCCTCGCCCCATCCCCATCACCCGGGGCCTCACATGGTCGGTTCGCCGCATCATCCAGCGGCGCCCCATCCGATGGGCCCGGCCGGCATGATGGGGCCGGCCGGTATGCAGCCCCAAGGCGCGCCCGGTATCTGCGGCCCTGGACCCACCGGTCCGATGGGTCCACACGCGCATCCACAAGGACCAGGGGTGCCTGGACAACCGCATTTGCACAACGACCCATTCTTCAACTGCCAGCCTTTTCCCTCGCACTACTACAACAGGTAAATTTTTAACATTACCAACGATGTGCTCGATACATCTTACATCTTACATCTTATGGAAGCGGAGGAAAGAAGAGAAGGAGGAAAATAGATGAAAAAAGATGTTTTTGGACGAATGACTCGATTGTGAATTTGGAAAGACGATGGAAACTGTTGTAATAAACCATGATTTTTCGATTATAATTATAATAAATGTTTTTATTGCTCATTGTTAAATTTAACATTAATATTAGTATAAAAAAAGTTTTTTTTATACTAATTGCTATATATACATTTTTATAATCTGACGAGCCTGATGAGATGTTTTATACATCTTAAACTACATTCTTTTTGTGCTTTTTATTACTGGTTTAAACTTTATATTCTTGACGATCGAGAAGTATTATGCGTCGTCCACAATACACAGAGTTAAGAAGTGAGAGTAAGAAATTGACCAATCACAGTCGAATGCGAGAAGAATAATCTGTGATGGTTGGTCAATTTTTTTACTCTCATTTCTTACTCTTCTCTGTGTATTGTAGACGATGCATTAAAGTATATTACAACACTTTGATTCTCTCTCTACAAAACTTTAACAAGTACTGATAAGATGAGTACGTAACTTATATAAGATATCATGATAACCCATATTATTGTATACAATTGATTTCAAGACTTATTTTGTCACACGCAAATGTGATACATTTCACATTTCACATTGTAAGAATAAAATCTGAATTAAATTGAATTTTAATTATATTCTATCAATTAAAATTTTTTCTAAAAACCACGATTTTTTTTATCGTTGATTTAACACACAATTAGGATTTTATAACTGTTTAATTTAGCAAAATGATTTAAAAAATTGGTTATTTTTATCTGCATTGTGATCTGCATTGTGATTTTCTTCCGATAGAGCATCCTATCGGCAGACAGATATAATCGATCGTTTTTTAACTGCATATTTATTTCTTTATTTTAACTATTACAAATTGTACAGTTGTGGGATTATGCTGGAAGAAATTTGATTTAGCGACTCTAGTGTATAAAATCGACGTTAAATTCTATTCGCCAACAAATTTTTTGTCGCGTTTGGCAGGCGTAATTTTCATAAGATCGATATGTTAATAGTATTTCCCTGCCGTAGCGACCGTAATGAATGTGCCATAAACGTCAAAATTACGACAGAAGAAATAATTTGTATACTCGATCATATGTGAAAATAAAATACATACGTCGCCGATATCTCGCTCAACATCGAGAAAGCGCCGTTTCCTCTTATTTCTCTACAAAGAAAGATCCTAGATATTGCTTTCAAAGCAATTTTACAGATTGTTGTAGAAGCAGCACTCGAATTATACAGGATGTATCCAGAAATCACACATTTTCTTTCGCGCGCGATTGCTGACTTTTTAATAAATTTAACATTGATTGTTATTTAATAGGAGGATATCACTGATTGTTAAATACCTTCACTCAAATTTTTAAATCAAAATTTCATTCAAATATATAATTTATTATTCTCTTTGCCTGAAAACTTGGCACTGTTTCAAAGTCACTAGTCCATATAATGGCTTTCTATTCCCTATGGTAATGCTAATAATTAAAAAATGGACAATCTTCTAAAGTTTGTTGTAGAGGATTTCTGATTTCGTTGAATTTAAATTGGATATCAGAAATTCTAGAAACCCTCTATATAATCAGAGTCTGGACACGAATTGTATTTTGTATGCAAGATCTCTAGTTTTAGCAAAATTACGCGAGAGAGAAGGGCATACATTCACTATTTCTTTCTCTTTTTCTTTCTGTTGTATCTCCCTCCCCCCCACCTCTCTTTCTCTCTCTCGAGTTAGTAAACATGCATGGTGGACCAATCAAAAGTATCTAGTGTCGTGTCTTGACTCTGATTAGAGGATTTTTAGTTGTGAGAAATTCGAAATTTTCAAAATGGCAGCTCTAATATAGTGGTTTAACAATTGAAAAAATACATTTTCGTGAGACTAGCTAATAATAAGATATTGTTGACATCGAAAATTAATAATCGAAAAGTCTGTATAAAGCTATGAGAACGTATGGAATAAAACGATAAATCGAAAAGATGCGTCCATACAGTATAAGCTGTAAAGTATGAATAAGGCTTATTAAAACATAATATAAAAATGAGGCGTAGGTTTTTATTTGCGAGATTTATATGTAATCACTAGTAGCCATTTAATTTTAGGAATTCTGCAGAGCAAGTGTTAACGATAAGAGCAAGCATAGAAATTACGACATGAAGAATAGAATAGCGCCTATAGCGTCGTTCCTGTGAAGAATTTCTGGTTGAAAATGGACATACCAGAAAATTCTGATCATATCAATCAGAATTCTGATTATCTCAGCTGGAATTTAATAGATTTAACTAGAAAATTCTAATTTGTATATTTTATCAAGCAGAATTCTAATTAATTCAGCCGGACTTTTTTTTCTAGTTTAAAATGTAATATTCAGTTCCTTTAAGTTATTTAAAATCTTGTTATACCTCGTTATTTTTTGTGTTTTATTTCTATGCTTGCAGAAAACGCAAGTTTCTGCAGAGACGTCCTATGTAGTGATATAAATAGGTAATCTGTCGTCATACCAGCCATAACAGTTCACCGTCACGCGAAAGAACACTCGCACGTGCGTCTCTCGCCAGTCGGGGTGGAACTTTGCGTGAAGGCGTATGTAAACTTTTTCTCGGGCCCGCTTGAGGAAGGGTAGATGGAGGAGGGTAAAGGGGAGAATTGTGTGGCAGGTAGTCACGCGAGGTTTTACGAAAAACTATCGCGTGGTCGAAGGAATCTCCCGCGAAGCTTAGCTCTTGCGCACCGTTTATAAGCTATCTTAGTTCTGCTTCATGTCGTTGATAAATCGTGACATACTTCATTTTATTCTTAAAAAATTATTTTCTAATTAACTTTTGTGATAAACTTTTGTGTTCTTACGATTTTTTTTTCGCATGTTTGCTTCGAGTTTGCTTCGAGCTAAGAATATTAATTAGCTAAATACCGATGAAACAATCTTTCTTAGTAAATAATCGATACTACCGGTCAAGAACGGTGTCAAAGAGTTCGCATATTCATTGATCATTTATTCTTTTTCCATTTCTTTTTCTGAATCAGATCATCATCTATAATTTTATGTACGAACACAATAGCGTTGTATTGCATAAATTACTAGTTGAAAAAAATTGAAATACGCACAGTCACTTACAATAATATTTCTGAATGTTGATATAATGTTTTTTAAATATTTTTAAAATGACTTTTAAATGCACATTTATACGTATACAATTATTTTTACGTCTAAGACAATATTAAGTTAAGATTATTCACGGCTTGTCTTCGATTGGTTCGAGATTATTCCGTGACTCGGTCACGGACCGATGAGTTTTTTTCCATCGTGGATATTTTTAGACAATTGTTTTACGGCTCGATACTTCGTTCCATGCCAATCGTCCGGTAGTCGCTCACTAGTACGTTCTCTCAGGCGTAGTAACAGTATACCCCGAGAATCCGTTACCTCGGTTAGGATCTTCCTGGTCACCGTTGCACACTCGACTCCGCGCAACGCGGTTGAGATACAATAATATGTAGATAACTTCAAAGATTTCCCAAATACCATGATCACTAAATATAAATTCGTCAATACGGATTCGCCAAATTCGCCAAAACTATATTCCAAATAGTCACTGAAAAATCGACTGATCGGTCCGCTCAAAATTCGCTCGCTTTATAACAAGACATGTAAGAAAATCCGTTTGTTTTTCGTGAAATAGAACTTGCTGCGAATGTAGTGGCCGAAATGTTTTGGACGAAATTTTTTGTAGGTGTTTCATTGGGGAAAAATGGCTATTGATTTCACCATCATATATACGCGAGTATTCACTGTCTGTCAGGTGCGTCGAAAAGTCAGTCGTCTTCGCCACGGCGGTATCTCCCGGTGTCTCAGGTGCCTCGCAGGTGGGAGGTGCCCCTGGCGCAGGTGTGCATGCACGTTCGTTCGCGACTTCCTCCTTCGGCGGGGCTCGTCTTGCGAGGAAAGAGATAGTCAGGGGTTAAGAACATCGATACTCGGTATGTGCATGACGACGATTATCCGGTACTTCTCCTCTTCGGCCTTCTTCGTATCCGGTCTGGACGTCTCTATCACCTCGGCATCATCTCTACGCTCACCGTCCCCGTCTGATAATCGCGGGCTCATTAACATAAGCGTTCCACCCTGCTACATTCGTACGAATGACGATGCTACTTTGCTCGCAGAGTTTAAGTAAAGCTTTCTTTTTAACATACTCGACGATCCCATTTAACATTTACGCGAAAACGTAATGAAATTTTATATAATAGGTATATTAATTAAAAAATTCTAAAATACGCGCGCACGCAATGATTAATTCTAGAATAATCTAGATCGATGCGTAAATTTACGTACAAGGAAATAGCCACTCATTAATGTAACACAGATTTTTCATTCATTTTTTACACTTTTAATAATAAAATATTTATAATTTGAAGGCATCTTTACGTTTGAGAGCCGATTTTAAAGGTATTTTTTGAGAATTTTTTTAACGAATACAAATTTAGATATATTTAAAAAGTAATACAGGTGTAGAAAGTGCATGCAATGTACATGTAAAAAAAAATTTTTTTAACGTTTATTTTTTACAGAGTAATACTAAGATGGCGCTGAAGTTAGGTCTGTACCGCGAACACGGTCAAACGGTGATAAAAGTACAAGATATCGTTGGTCTGAAAGCAAAAAATGGAGCTTTTTTTTTTTAATGAATGGACTTGCCTGAATTTTCACTTGAACGGGGATAATGGATATCACATGTATATTTTCGAACTGTCGACAGTTTGAAAAAATGATTCGAATTTTGCTCATTTTTTCCTTATTCTTTCAAATAGAAAATAACGTAGACTATTAAATCTAATTCAGGCGATAATGATATATTCTCTGAGTATAACCGTAAAAATCTTCAGACTAATAAGTTTTTTTTT